ACTATGGAACACTCTTCTGATGTGTTGGTCACAGGCAGTGAGGTACAGAAAACCTGGCATTGGTGCCACTGCCCATGTGACAACTTTTTTGTTGCTACATAAAAGGGCTTCAGCTTTTATGGCTGGTGCCTGTCTTTTCTAGATATGAAAGTCACACAGTCAAAAAGGAAATAAAGTCAGGAGTTCCTTGCCTGAAGCTTGTTTGCCTGGGGATGGAAGTGAGGTGCCAGAGAACAAACCACTGCCACAGTAAAAAAGGTATTGCACTTGGTGGTAGGGCTATGACTGCTATAGCTGTTAACATAGTTTTTCAGCAGCTATTTTCAGCAAAATGGTGTGCACCTACAGCCTGTACATGATTATAGGTTGTTAGTAAACTGTACATGAACAGGCTAGACTGTTTTAATTATAGTAAGAATTGCATATTAATAATGTATGACCTATACACTGAAAAAGTCTGATAAAAGCCTGATTTACATACATTGAGGGTATTCATTTACTTTCAGGGAACAGCTGGAATGCTAGTCATGTTGAAAACAAGCAAACAAAACCTCACAAATCCCCCCCCCCCCAACTGCAGCTTAACATATTTAATTTATTCAGGCTGGTAATTTTTGAAGGAACTCTAGGTGTAGAGTGCTAAATGTAATTCTTTCTTCAGATCCTGCAGCAAATACATAATCACTTCCAGTGTCTATGTAAAAGCAGAAAGTTAGGTCTATAATACACATGCCTGACCCTGTTCTTTTAACGCAGAAACTCACCCTAGAGGACTGCTGCGAGGTACAGTTGTGCCAGCAGACTGAGTTCTCAAGGAAGCCTGTGTGCAAATGGTTTAAGCTAAAAGGGATATTGTGACAGAAGGACAGACTGTACACATGTCCCTAAAAAAAAAAAAAAAATTGAGTCCTCATTTTATGTCCTTGGAACATTACCCAAGTCACTCTCCATCATCAGGATTACTTGAATGCTGCAGAATGGTACCTATAGACATTAATCTGAAATGTAAGCAGCTGTTCATTGACGCTGGATCTGTTTTCATTCACTCTATCTGAGCATTCAATTTAATTATTTTTTAAATGCTGAATAACTGTCTCAA